CTGGAAAACTGCCAAATATCTGTCATTTGTTCAATATGCTAGAGACGGAAACTGTCCTCATTCTTGTTATTCTATCTCTTCTTGTTTTTCTAAGTTGGGTATCCCATAAGCCCTTTTCCCTATCCAAGTTGATATCCCTAATACATCCACAAAATCAAGCTCATGGACTGTTTATTTGTATCTGAATGCAAGTTGGAAAATGTGTGTTGCCTGGCTGTGCAGGAAATAAGGGGAACCCAAAGTCAGGGGCTCTCAAGGGGGTAGCACTACATAAGTAGCCCTAATGCAGGAGTGGCAATACTACTTTATACGAGAAGATTGGGCTAAATTAATATTACGTTCTTTGGTCAGCATTGGAAGATATATTGGTTCCATAGGGAAAAGGTTCATTTAGAATTTTATTCTAACCCAGTGGTATGCAACTCTACTCTAGGCTAGGGCTACAAATGCATTTTCTAACGCAGATATTGAAAGAAATCAGGTAATATATCAGGATATATTGCAGTAGATATTTGGGTAATTAAAATTAAGATATCTGAGTCTTTTGAGAATAATTTTATAGGGGTATATAAATTAGTGGGCATGAATGCCCAAAAGTATCATAAATGCTACTGGTTGCTGTATGGTTCTGTAGCGATTAACCCCCTACACAGATTCAGGAAAATTAGAGACTAAAGTTTTATAAATTCTACTATGCAATTAATTTGCGCTATCATGCAATCATGGGTGATTTATCAGACAAAGACTGCTAATCTTTTTTGAAGCAGCTCACACAAAATGAATATGAGTTTAAAAAATTATCGTTTGCAAGAGATTTTAGTAGCAAGGCTAAACAACAACACTTTGCTCCGTATAGTTTTAAAACACAAATCACCAGTGCCCAAAAAAAATGTGAAATTATATGCCAAATAAACGAATGCTGCTGCTCATTAGTGAAAACACCAAAAAATACATAAAACATCAAAACAGTGCAAATATGTAAAAATATATAAATACACACTGCAATAAAAAAATTAAAAAAATATTCATAATAAGTCCCACTCCAAATCAATAGTGAAAAATAAAAAATAAAAAAATTAAGAAATGCATAAAAAATAAAAATAAAATAAATTGTATTCCTGAAAGTCTTTTTTCCCAAAAAAACTTTTTGACCCGTGTTTCCACCATGATAGTGCTCAAATACTACACCGCACTCACCAGATAATGGTGAAAAAAACACCTTTTAGGGTTTTTTTGGGATCCTAGACCCAGTCAGTATGCCTCCAATTACCAGATAATCCTGGATTTTCCCCCACTCCAGACAGGAATATAGCCAGCCTCCAATCTCCAGGATCATCAGACACCACTCTTTTGTTATTCTGAAGAAATCACTGTTTGTCCATGTCCATGTTCAGAGTGAATATCTTACCAGGAACCGTGAGTGCGGTGTAGTATTTGAGCACTATCATGGTGGAAACACGGGTCAAAAAGTGTTTTGAAAAAAAGGACTTTCAGGAATACAATTTATTTTATTTTTATTTTTTATGCATTTCTTAATTTTTTTGTTTTTCACTATTGATTTGGAGTGGGACTTTATTATTAATATTTTTTTTACATTTTTTTATTGCAGTGTGTATTTATATATTTTTACATATTTGCGCTGTTTTGATGTTTTATGTTTTGCTCCATATAGCCCTAGGGAAAAAAAGGTGAGACTCCATTAAAATCTGCATTACCAAGCATTGACAACCCATTCAAAATGAATGTGCTGCCCTACCACAATGTACAGTATGTTAACTCAAATTATAATGAACATTAATATGCTTGCTGTAATGCACTGCAACTGTGGGACAGTGCAACAGATTCTACTGATTATTGCAGCTGCATACTTACCTGCTAATGGTAAAACTTTTAGCTTTTAACTTAACTTTATATATTTTTTATTTTAGTGTTCCTGGAGGACAAGAGATGAATGCTTATTTTCTAACCTTCTGTTGTGAATTTGGATGACCAACGTAAATAAATATAAAACAAAGGTGTTGGAATAGTTTTCCCAATAGATTAATAGACATTTAGCTTGATGATTTGACTGTTGAAAACATTCCGCAAATGTTTGTTGGTTGAGTTCTGGAGTAATGTCAAGAGTTCCCAAGGTGCATTAATTGTGCTCTTTATTTCTCAAAGTAAATGAGGAAGCCTAGTACACACGATCAGAAAATTGTATGAAAAATATCGCTTTCTAAGTGATTGTACGATAATCTGATCATTGGTACACAGCTTTTGTCCAAAATTATTCAAAGGGACAAGCACAAATAGTTTTCTCGTACGATGCCAGAATGTATAATTTTCATTTAATCCATACAGTTTTCACCCGAAAATACAATAAAAATACATTAAGATACATTATATCACTTTCTAATTTTTATTGCCATACAAAAATTTTCGTAACTTTAGTGACCTCTTCACTTTCGATATGAGACTAGCATGCAAAAAAAAAACCAATCATTCGTCCAATATTTTCATTGTGTGTATGGGGCCTTAGACAACCTGTGAAAAGTCTGATGAATTTGGCAGAAGCAGTTGAATAATTAACTTTATTTGCTGCCTGGGAAGAAGGTATTCTAGAATCATCCCCTGAGGGTTTATTTAACTACCCCTGCACCTACATGTTGTAAAGTAATAATCGGAAGGTAGATATGTATATCTTTTTTTTTTTTTTGGCCAGGGGCAGGTGGGTGGGTGGGGGGTTAAAGGGATGGGGGGATTAAAGTACCAGTGACTACCACCATCGAATGTGGGATCTTATTTTTAAAGGCAAGGGGAGGAAAGCTAAATGTTCTTTTTTTTGGTCCTTGATATAATTAAAAGTAAAAAAAAACCTCAGTATTCATTAAACAGTGCCAAACGAAAGCTCTGTTTAAAAAAAAAAACCCATATAAAATACATTTGGGTGCATTGTTGCATAACTGCGTTATTATCAGTCAAGCTATCCAGCACTGAAAACTGAAAAATGGGGTATATACAGGCAGGTAATCAAGTGGTTAATGGATGGGTCTGTACCTGTTGATTGCTATAAACCAATTACAGCCATTAGAAGTGTAAACATTAATAGTATTTACAAGAAAGAAAGAAAGAAAGAAAGAAAAGAAAGAAAGAAAGAAAGAAAGAAAGAAAGAAAGGATCAGAAGACTGAAGGTGAAGGCAGGGAGTCCTCAAGTGTCACCGACCACCAAAGATAACGGGGCCGTTTTGGTTTTTTTTTTTCAACGGTCAAAGGGACTTAAAGTGCTACTTTCTACCAAGGGTTGTGGGTTTATTTTTTTTTTTTGGGGGGGTTGTTAAAGAACCATTCACCACCAATGATTGTGGGATTTTTTAAAGATGGGAGGGTAAAAGTGCCACTCAATAATTCTGGGGTTGATTTTTGCTGGGCTTAATGTGCTACTGACCACCAATGATTGTAAAGTTGTTTTTATGGAGGATTGAACGTGCAACTGACCACTCATGATTGTGGGATTGTTTTTTTAAAGAAATTTCAGATAAATGTAAATAAACTCATATTTTTGGTTGTTTTTTTCTTTATATAGTTAAAGTAAAAAAAAAAACAGTGGTTATTAAATACCACCAAAAGAAAGGTCTGTCTCAAAATATTATATAAAATTCGTTTTGGCAGTCAAACTATCACATCACTGAAAACAGAAAAATGGCCTGGTAATGAAGGTATATATAGGTTAGTACTCAAGTGATTAAGGATTCACTGTACGATTCACTCAGCAGGTGTTTGCTGGACATCCGTCCACCTGTATTTTATAGCATTCACCTATCACTTTTAAAAATGATTCACCCTATTTGCCTATCAAATTAAAGAAGCTTCACTAATCAGCACAGAAAATAATGACCAGATTACCATTACAAAAAAGATTTGCCTATTGACCACTGCATTATAGGGTGAAAGAAAATGATAGCCAAATTCGGTACAATCCAGATGGACGAATGTCCAGCAAAAATTGACCATGCAAATTGCATGGCAAATTCTTTACAAACATTCCCGTGTCTTCTGTAAAAAAAAAATATTTCTGCTGTGCTTTTAACAGCTCCTAGTCCCCAGCACTATCACAGTTACTATAAGAGATAGGATTACACAATTAATCTGCGCAGGGATTGTTTAAATACAAATATCAGGAACTGAAGATGCCTACTGTAATCATTATAACAAGCTTGTTGAATTTAGGCAGTATTTCCAGCTAAATGCAAAGGATTAAAACATACAAATAAACAAAACCAATTTCAAATAAATCATTTGTGAGGAGCATTTTACAAACAAGCTGCAGGTCAAGAAAAACTCATTAAAATGAATCTGTGTAAGGAAGAGCTTTGTACAAAGCTATTGCATTAGATATCACTTGTTCTAGTTTACGGTGCAGGGTATTGAAAAGAAATGACAAAGATCTAGGCAGATGAATACAGGTAAGTATGCAGTTGAATAGAATTTCTATTAATAACAGTTACAGTATTATACTTGTAATACATTGGTAATTACATAACTTTATTTATATTTTTAACCACCTATAGATCATGCACAGTGTAGGGCAAGCACATGTATGCAACATCAGTTGCACCACACATGTGGGGTATCATCACAAACATCGAAGTGAGAGCAATAATTCTAGGGCCATAGTTCAGGGTTAACTCTAAACAGATGATCTGTAAAGACTTTTAAAGCATCACCTATGGAGAATTTTAGGTAGTTGTTTGTGATTCCATAGGTGGGAATTTTAAGACTTGATATGCTGGTATCTATTTATTCAGGGCAACTCCATCTTTTACATTTTGCACATAATTGGGTATAATATTGTGTTTGCCTAAAAATTAATTTGGGAGTATTTTTTCCTGAAAATATGCTATTATTAACCACCTCCTGCCCGCCATATAGTAATATGACGGAGGCAAGGTGGTTCTCTCGTTCTGGGAGGACGTCATATTACGTCCTCCCATTCTCACCCCGCATGGAGTGCTCAGGGAGCGCGCAGCATGGCGATCGGCAGTGCGCTGTGCCCCTCGGACACAGCGGATCACCGATCACGGAAGAGCCGAAGATGTCGGCTCGGTCATGTGATCAGCTGTGTCCAATCACAGCTGATCACATGTAAACAGGGAAATGCAGATTATTGGCATTTCTCTCCTCTCGAGCTGTCACGCTGAGGGGAAATGTATACTGATCATCAGAGCACTGATGATCAGTGTGCCCTGATGATCAGTGTAGCCCCAGCAGTGCCACCTGTCAGTGTCCATCAGTGCCTCGTGTCAGTGCCCATCAGTACCACATCAATGCCACATATCAGTGCCTACCAGTGCACATCAACGCCACATATCAGTGCCCATCTGAGCTGCCTTTCAGTGTCACCCATCAATGCCAGTCAGTGCCACCTATCAATGTCAGTCAGTGCCACCTATCAGTGCTGCCAGTCAGTGCCGCCTATCAGTGCCAGTCAGTGCCACCTATCAGTGCACATCAGTGCCGCCTATCAGTGCCTGTCAGTGCCACCTATCAGTGCCAGTCAGTGCCACCTAACAGTGTCAGTCAGTACCGCCTATCAGTGCCAGTCAGTGCCTCCTAACAGTGCCAGTCAGTGCCGCCTATCAGTGCCGCCTATCAGTGCCATGTATCAGTGCTGCCTTTCAGTGCCCATCAGTGATGCCTGTCAATGCCCATCAGTGCCACCTACCAGTGCCTCCTCATCAGTGCCCATCAGTGCAGCCTATCAGTGCCCATCACTGCAGCCTCATTAGCGCATATCAGTGAAGGAGAAAAATCACTTATTTACAAAATGTTATAACAAAAACTAAGAAAAAACGTTTTTTTTTCAATATGTTCAGTGGTTTTTGGTTTGTTTAAGAAAAATAAAAAACCCAGAGGTGATTAAATACCACCAAAATAAAGCTCTATCTGTCACAAAAAAATGATAAACATTTCATATGGGTGCAGTGTTGCATGACCGTGCAATTTTCATTCAAAGTGCGATAGCGCTGAAAGCTAGAAATTGGCCTGGGCAGGAAGGGGGTATAAGTGCCCAGTAGTCTAGCGGTTAAATAACTGTGCAAATATTGTGCAAAAAAAAACAATAACCATTTTCTTCTCAAGGATTTCTGCTTTCAGAACTTATATATAGTTCTCTTTTTTTTTGGGGGGGGGGGGGGTTATAGTAAAAAAAGCAAAACATACTAATTGTAAAGAGTGTAAAAAATGGAACAATTTGTCCTGTTATGGTTTTCTACATGTTTCTTCTATTTTTTAATATTTTCTTTATTTTGGTTTGGATCAAATGTAAGTTTAAAGTTAAAGGTGTAAAGTTTAGATATGGCAATATTTAATAAAGATATATATGCGTCATACCTGTAGGATCCCCATGAAAGCTGAAAGGCACTGCTACTACAATGATCTCCACTATCTTCCAGGCCCTGTGCTAAGCGGCTGCCTTGCTGTATTGTGAACATAGGAGTCACTCTCCTGGCACAGCCACCAGGGAGCACTTTGCCTTCATTGAAAGAATGCAAAATGATCCCTCAATGGTGCCCATGCTGACCATGCAATCTCCTGTGTTCAGTAAGCAGTAGGGCAGCTGCATAGCATGAGACCTGAATCTAGCTGCAATCACTTTACTAGTGGTGCTTACTATAGTGATTTCCAGCTTCCACAGGGATCCCCTACAGGTATAGCCCATACATACTTACATCAGTCCAAGCTGGACCATTGTAACTCTAAATATTGACATACCTAAACTTCAGCTTTAAACTTGCATTTTTGGTCAAGAAAAAAAATCTATGACAATTCTTAAATGTAAGTATTTAAGTAAAATAAAGTGCATTTCTAAAATATATTTATACTGGATGTGGCTTTTCCAAACTGGCTCAATTGGCTTGATAAGCCTCTCTTTAGGGTTCATGCACACAGACTATTCTATTCATTTTTATTCCTAGAGTAAATCCCCCTGCATGTTTCTGCACCCTGTGAGCTGTACATGCAGTTCTTCTGTAAACGCCTATACTTCTTTGCATCTGTGTTTACTTGCACATACGTATGCATCCAATGATTGCCCAAGTGCAGAAGTTTCCCGTTCAGAAAATACATCACGTGTTCACCTACAAATCATCACTGATGAAAAGTAGCATCAGCATTTACAGGAGCACATTCATTTGTATATGACACATGCCGCTCCACTGGTGCTGGAAAGCAGTGGGAGATACTGTATATGCTATGCATAGAATATCCCTATAATAGTGTGTATAAAACCTTGGGGGGACCTTCTAATCTGAGCAGTGTTCTGTTATTACCTTGTTCCTGCAAAGTATGCTCTGATTGAACAAGGTGGATATTGTACTGTAACTGCCCTGCCTCTTTACCTTGTGCAATCAGAGAACACTCTTCATTCATTGCAAATTGTTCCTCGAGTGGCGCCTGTACCGAAGGAGCAACTTCCTATGTTCACAATGCAGCAGTAAGCCAATCGGGACCTGGAAGCAAGTGGAGATCACTATAGTAGTGGTGCCTACTACAGTGATTTCCAGCTTCGGCAAGGATCCTACAGGTATGGCCCAAACATACATCGGTCCAAACTGGACCAATGAAACTATGAAAAAATTGCCATACCTGAACTTCAGCTGTAATGTGATTGTCTCTTGTGCACATCGTATTGCACTTACATTTTGAAATTTGAAGATTTAAGTTAAGTGTGCACTAGCTGAGCTAAGTTGCTAAATTAGAACACTGTGTTGGATGAGATGTTTCTTTTTACATTTGTTAGAATGAAAACTGGTAGATCGCTTCTACATATCTCGAAACTGAGCACAGTGCTCTCTTGGTTGTGAGAAATACTATGATATTGATTTAAATGCCAAGCACTATGGTCTTGTGACAGACAGCAGGAAAACATGCCTGTTCATTTCTGTATGGTAGAACTACAAACTTCTGCTGATAAAATGTTGCTTATGATATTCACAAGTATTGTATAAAACTTGTTATCGTTTTTTGGAAAAGCTAGTAGTGACCAGATACCAATTCTATTTCCACGCTTCTTTAACAAGCCTCTCTAAGGCAAATGTTTAAGAAATCATTATAAACATGTATGATGAGTATGTGTGTGTGCAAATTTAATGTCTGAGAACTGTGCACACAGTTTGTATGAACACATATTAAATATGAGGGACAATTACTTTAAAGTACAGTGCATTGTTTAAATATTTCATCACCATTCAAAGACTGCTGGAGGATGTTAAATAATTGGGAAGAAGATTTGAATCTTGAAATACATAAATCATTACAAGAAAAAGATCTTAAAAGAGAAGTGTAGAGACTCATGTAGATCCAAATTTAAACACACAACTACTTAAATAAAGTGACAGTAGTAGATTTCTATTGTCATTTGTTTAAAATGTTGAATATTTTTGTTTGCACAGAATAGACCTTGTCTCTGTGCTGAAGCAGGTAATGAGGAGAATATTAAATATGAGCTTAGATTGGGTTGTTAATTTTTACACAAGGCAAATAATTATCAGCAATGAGCTTTGGGTTTGGTCAACTATGAGTTTGACCTGAACCTGAACTGTTCACAGTTCGGATGAATGACCAGATTTGGTATTACTACCATCACAAAATTAAACTTCTGGCCACCTGCCCACCAGCTTGTTTCAAAGTGTAAACAAGCTGAAAGCCATGAGCAAATATGGTCTTGACCATATGTGGTCAATGACATCACTTCCCTAACCAGTTTGTTGACATTCATCTGCCAGCTAGGGAGCTGTCATTCATGGAGAGAGTCTGGAGGGGAAGGTTTGTCAGTGTGGGTCGTGGTGTTAGTGCTGGCGATCTGTTGCTCATTGCGATTGACAGTGGACCTAACTCTCTGAATGAAATTGACATTGGATGTACAACATAGTCCAGATTTTTTTCTTTTTTTTTTTGTATTTATTCATATATAAAATACTTTCTCTGTGGTGTGTGTATTTATTTGCTTTGTTCATTTTTTGTTAATGAAGGGGTATTATGTATCCCTTACTTGTTCACGTAAAAGGGCATAAATCTGGGTTCCTTTTATTTTAAAAAGGGCTTGCAGTTTTCGATAAGTCCACCCTGCAGACCCCAAAATCACCAAGCCAGGTATGTGGGTGTGAAGCTCTAGTCCCCATCAACATAGCGTCTTCCCAAGTAGGTAAGGGAAGCTGGCAAAATATTCTTCCAACATTAAGGCATGTGGCCATCTATGGTGTAAGGGGGGATTCATGCTCACTGCAGCTCAATTTCCCTTGTCCCCATATTGATGGGAAAGTGCTTACTTAAATTGGAGCAAAGATTCAGTTCAGGTGAATTCTCCTAATAAGACCACATGCAGCAATAAAATCCTAAAAGACGCTCGAAAATATTCTTATTTCTATTAGAAAATATATATTTATTTTTAACTGTTCATTTTCTTATTGATACCTATCAAATAGACAGGAATGGGAAGATTGTCTCCTCCCTCAGTTAGATGGGAAGTGAGGAGAAAACTTCCAAATGGAGAATCAGACAGCAAGTTAACAGCAGTTTTAACCCTTCCTCACTATAGTTAATGTTTTAACCCTTTTACTGTAGTCAGTGGCAGAAGGGAGTTTTAAACACATTCCTGACTGCTACAAGTCAACTTCTGGCTTTCAGGTGGAAGTAACCAGGTGACTGTACAGCCACCCAATTGCTTCCATGGACCGCTGCTACAATCACCTGCCAGCTGTCATGTCACTACAGGTCTACAGTATTGATATAGGGGCTATCGAGCTTAGCTGCAGCACACAGTAGGTAACCAGGCATTCAACAAACCAATAAGTGTGTTGGATATGCTACAGGGGCTGTAGTTCTTGTAGAGAGCAAAATGATGATTCACCACCTGCTAGAGAGGAAAGAATTAAGAGTGTGTAGAAAGGTGTTGGGCTGCAGTTTGTCTGCTTACCTTAAGGTGGCACTAGGCCATTTCTACGGGCTGGCAGGAAACCATTGGGGAATAATTTGTCTACTACTATGGGTTCCAGGCGGCATCTTATAACTGTCTCCCATTATCAGGCAGATAAACTACAAGGACTTTTGGAATCTTAGGAAGTCACAGTTATTTGGATTCCTCCTCCAAGGGAAGTGCATTCTGTGATCTGTAGGCCCATATTATATCATTATTCAAAATGTGCCTTGTTGACAGCCATTACCTTTCTGCTTGAATAAGTGGGTAACCTGCAACATTTGTGATATCAGTTTTGTAAACTACCTTATTTCTGTCTAAGTTCTACAAAATAAAGAAACATTTAAGTACTAATTTGTGTTGAATCCTCACACTTTTTGGATATGCTGGTTAAGCTGCATCTACATTTTGGCATAGTTGGCAGAGTATAGAAAATACATTCTCAGTGGTGGGTGTGGCCAGAGTTATTACCATGGTAGCTTTGAGAGGAGCAGTACTGACACTGGTACC